TACTTAAAGCAGAGCCCGGGCAGGGGAAAGGGTGGGCTTCTAAAGCTGTTTCTGTATAGCTCCTCCTGCTCCCACCTGACGGTGATGCAAAGGGCAGGGGAGGCAGCATCGAGCAGTGGTAAGGATTATAAAGGGTCTGGAAGGGATTCTTGCTGTCATTTACAGAGGTTTGTTTTGTAAACTACATTTTAAACATGATTAAGACATGATGATTCTGTTCACCTTCCAGAAGCCTGGCCAGAAGTTTACTTGTTCACTACAACTGGGGAAGAAGGTTCCTAAGCCAGTGCACACACATGCTCACATGGTCTCTTGCTATTCAGAAGAAGCAGCTTTGAGACATTACAAGTGTGTTTTAAAAACATTTTGATTTATTTATTTTGATTTTTAAGTATTTTATTCATTATTTTACTTTTTTATGTGTATGAGTATATTACCTGCATGTAGGTAGGTGCATCTGTGTCATGCAGTACTCTTGGAGGTCAGAAAAGGGTGTCAGATCCCCTGAAACTGGAGTTACAAATGGTTGTTAGCCACCATGTGGGTGCTTGTAATTGAACCTGGGTCCTCTGCAAGAGCAGCCAGTGCTCTTAACCACTGAGGTACCTCTCCAGCCTCCTTATTTTGATTTTTATGTGTATGAATGTTTTGCATGCATGCATGTATATATGTGTCCCCATGTGTGAAATGCCCATGAAGGCCAGAAGAGAGTACTGGATCCCCTGGAACTGGACTTATGGGTGAACAGTGGCTAGCTGCCATGTGAGTGCTGGGAACTGAACCCAGGTCTTCTACAAGAGCAGCCAGTGCTCTTAACAGCTAAACCATCTCTCTAGCCCCACAAGTATCTTTTTTTAATGTACTGCTTCAACAACTAGAATTTAGACTAAGGAGGGATAGTTTGTCATAGGCTTATTATAGACAATCCCCATTCTGAATTCTGAACTACAACAAAACAAAACAACAGCAACAGCAACGAGATTCTCCCCATGAGACTGAGGGAGAATTTCTAGGTTCTTTCTCAAAAGAGCTCTTCCTTTTTTTGTCACACTCCTTTTGAGACAGGGTCTCACTAGGTAGCCCTGGCTAGCCTAGAGCTCTCTGTGTAGACCAGGCTGACCTCAAAGTCACAGAGATCTGCCTGCCTTTGCTTCCCAAATGCCAAGATTAATCTGCCTGGCTCTTTTTTTTTTTTTCCCTTTCAAGGGGTCTCTTTTAGCCCTGGCTATTCTGGAGTTTATGTAGCCCAATCCAGCCTTAAATTTAGGGTAATCCTCCTGCTTTAGCCCCTGAGCACTGGGATGACAGATATGCACCACCATTGCTTCTATTAGTCCATGTTAAACTCTATGGGCAGAGCCTCCATTTCCTGCTGATACCTGTCTTCAATGTCTTTCAGTGAAAGCCATCAATGTTTCTCCTGTGTTAACAAGTGCACACAGAGAGCCTAGGGCTACCTGTTGGAGCAGCACCACGGACAGGGCTAAGGTGACCAGCTCTCACACACCACCAAAGCCACTAATTCAGAAATCTAGAGACTCTCTCGAACATGCCCAATACTTTTTTTAAATGTTCTAGCTCATACATTTTCCTCATTTGTAAAAAGACCTCATCTAACTGAATACATCAGCAACATGCTAGACATGTCATCCAGGCAGGGATGGGGGTGTGAGACAGAATCTGCCCTATTTTTAAAAGATCTCTAGGGAAGACAGGTTCTTTGAAACGTGTTAAACTCTAATTGTCTATGTTATTATATGAGGTTTTTTTATGTTCAACTTAACTTTTTGCTTTTTATTCTTTTAGGCCATTTCTTCCTTTTTTGGTGTGTTCATATGCATATACATACATATTCATATCCGCTTCGAAATACATGTGACAAGTTGTCCTGTCATCTCTTACTATTGTGCCTCTAGGCAAAACAGCCCTTGTGTCAGACTTGCCGTTTATCAAAAAGCAGACCCTACTGTCAGTCAGGGCTGCAAGCTGTAGTGGCCAATGACAGGAGCTTGACCGAGGCCATGAAACCCAGCCTGGAGATCAACAGTCAAGCAGAGGAAGGAAGGCAAGAGCCCTGCCTGTAACAGCCTCAGGCCATCCAATCTGTGGGAGACAGACCTCCAAGATGCTGCCCCAACTCACTTTTTGTTTGTCACCATCTTATGCACCCTCACTTTTCCCCTTAAAAAAAAAAAAGAACATCTCTGGGATCCAGGTGTGCTATTCCCCCTGCAGATCAAATCTTATCCAGTTTTTCCATGAAATATTTTTCAGCTTGGTCCAAATCTTCTTTTCAAGAGTTATCATATTGCACCAAAACTGGCTCTTTTTTAAAGATTTATTTTAAAATCTGTGTATGTATCTATGTGTGGAGATTGGAGCCCTTGGAGCTAGAATTACAGGTAGTTGTGAGCCACCTGATGTGGTGCTGGGAACTGAACTCGGGTCCTCCCAAAACAATATGCACTCTTAACCACTGAGCCATTTCCTAGTCTGTAAGACTGACTCTTATACTTACATATCTCTTCAGGAATTCCCAACCAAAAAGGGACACCCTCATCCTAAAGACCAGTGACAGAGGGGCCCAGTGACGAATTAGATACATGTGTAGGGAACTGGTAATGCTTCTGTTGTTGGTAGCTGGCAGGTCTCCTTCCTCAGCTTCAGCAAGTCACTGCCTAGCTGCCAGCACCAGGTGACACCCCAAATACCAGACCGAGCCTTGAGTTGTTGGTTCAAGCAGCTTTCCCCAGGGCTCTACATGTTTGTTCAGGGCATTGTAGCTATGACGGCTACCCCCTTAGCAATGTAAACCCTTAGGACATAGGATTACAATACCACGTGGGACTCTGGTTACACAGCCAGCAAAGAGTGAGACACCACCACACAACACAAGGTTAGATGGAAGCAAATGAATGGGAAGCAGTCCTCAGCACCAGCAAAATCCCCAAGGTGAAAGAAGTAGCAGCACCAGTGCAAAGGGAGGCACACGATTCTCCCGTAATTACCTTCAAATTTAGGACTAGGAGTAGATGCAGGAAACTGGTAGGTAGGAGTGTAAGGGTTGTCCTCTGCAGCAGAGAAAAGCAGTGGGTTTGGAAGCTATCCACCAGGAAGTGGAGGAACTGACAAATCCCCAATTGACTTTTCAGTGACTATCTCTCTATTTTAGTGTTATTAAAGCACACAGGCATCACACTTAGAACAGATTAATGACTTAGGAAGAATTTAGTTATTTTAATACAGCACATCATACAAATGAGTGAAATAAGATTCTCGTCAAATGGAGAATGATTATTAAAAACAAAATCTAAAAGCCAAACCTTATGCTTATAATGGAACTCTAAGAACTATTTTAAGGCTATGACAACAGACTGTCTAAATTTATGGTACCTTCAGAATTTTGCAGGATTTCAGGAAGTTCAGGGAATTTGTACGTAGGGAAATAAGGGTTTTCTTCAGGAGTGTCTAGGCAGAGTAGCAGGTTTGAGAGAGAGAATAGAAGATACAAATGGAGAGAATGAACGAGTAGGAATCCACACACATTTAGGCTCCTTGAATTCTGGAACATAATAAGCTTCCTAATGAGTTGAAAGAAATTTGAACCACTCTTTAAAATCCAGTCCTTTTGCCTGAATAACTGAGACATGTAAAAAAAAAAAAATTACATAGAAACTGGCTGCAATGGGCAAAAAGCATTTAACACAAAGCTTCAAGTTTTCACATTATATAAGGCCAGGTATCAAATATGGTAAATCAAATCCTAAAATTATGTTTTTAAATCAAAGACTGTGTTGTGCACATTAGAATCAAGGCAAACAAGTAGAGTCTTAGTTTTTCAAGTTCTTCTGCCTCCATTAGGGCAGGTAGTTTTGTTTAGAACCTGTAATTTAGAGGAGTTAATAGCATGAAAAGACCACTGTGGTGCAGAGTTACATGTTTTGTGCACATGCACGCATTTGTCCCTGCAGTTAGCCTTCTTCAAGGAGGAAACAGCATTGATCATTCTGAATCTAGCAGGATCTAATTAACAGTGATGCTGGTTAGCATCATTATAATCAGAGAGATTGAATATTTGTCACTTAGGTGGGAATACTGACCAGAACAATCTTTCTCTGGTATATTACATGGCAGGCGGCCAGACTGGATTTGGGCCACAGGGAAAGACAGGATGTTCTGCTCGTAGGAAGAGCAGCGCCCTTCCCACAGTGCAGTGACTGGCGGCACAGGCAGCAATGGGAGTTGAGCTACTGAGGTTGTGATCTACCCATGCACTGGCTTGAGGTTCAGCCACCATGCTGGGTCACTCATTGACAGCTCAGGAGACCTCTTGATCTGTAAGTGCCTCTTTCAGCTTAAGCAGACTCTGGTGTCAGCTCTTGACTGATTCTCAGAGCTACCTGCCAAGTTCTGGCTCCCAGCTGGGAAGCTTACTTTTCCTATTAGCATAGCCTTAGAGGTGCACAATGCATTGCACTTTACAAGGTCAAGTGTGTCCTCATTTGGACTCCCACAGCATCTTTCAGAGGATTGGAAGTAGGACAGACACACAAAAAAGGATATGATTGTCCCAAAGCCATGCAAATGCATGGGAGTTAAATCCATGTATGAAGAGTTTTAATTGCTCTGCCCACAAGGCAGTCATGGGCTGACCCAAGCTGTACCTAAAGCTAGAAGCAGGTGGGAGATGGAGCTGCTTATTCCCTGGGCAGATAGGTGTGAGAGCACAGGAGGAGTGCTGGGCTCAGCCTGACACACTCAACAGCTGGGAGGGAAGACTTGCAAGCTGACTCCAAGTTCCAAAGCTGAGGCGGTCACAGGTGCAATTCTCCCCACTGGCACTGTTAAGGCACATGGCTGGGCTCAGGCAGGCCGGTAGCTAAGGCAATCCAACTGCAGGACCCTATCTCCTGGAGTCTGAGTAAAATATAGCTCCCCACAACCAACAGTCCATAAACAGCCCACAGCACCACATAGCTTCTACAAATGAAAATTAGTACCTCTGTTCAGCTTGTGGATCTGTTTAAACATGGTCTTGTACCAGTCTTTTGATCTCTCGGTATTCTGGAGAAAAACAAAGGCAAAAGGTGAAAAAAAAAAAAAAAAGGAAATTCTGGCATACTTCATTTGACCAAGGAACTCAATAAAGAAACACATGAAGCTATAGAGACAGTTCCTAATTCAGAATTAGGATGAGCTGACTGGAAGGGGCAGTGTCCTATGGGACACATAGGCACAGGAGTGAGAACAGCTGACTGATACCAGTGCTTACATCAAAATCAAACAGGAAAATACTGGGGATGGAACCCAGTGCCTATATCACTAACCCGAATTTTTATATCTTTTTTTTTTGTAAAGGCAAAACTTTTAAGAAAGAAGAGACAAAGTAAGAAATTCAGACATGAGTCTTTAAATAATGTTTAATCAAAGGACATAGCAGCAAAGACAGACCTGAAATGAACCCAGCCTTTCTTAAAATTTCACTCTTTGTTTCTCAAAAGAGGTATAAATCTGGTTTATATAATATTGTATATACATCAACTCATATGGAAGTTTTCAACATACCACCAAGCTAATTTTTCATAATTTTCTGAATGTATATAACACGCAGTATTATATACACACAATGCTAGGATCACCCACTAATCTTGGACTAGGGTACCTAATCATATTAGACCTTTACAAATCCATGGATGAGATTAAACAAGAGAAAGTATGTAATTCTGCAGTTTCTTATCTGTGCGGATATAATGAAGAGATTCATAACCTCTGAGTAAATTAGGGGCCACTTGCTGTCTGGGAAGATGCCCAAAAGAGGAATGGTTGTTTAGGATCTAACACCAGTCCAAATCCTCAAAATAATTTTTTTTAAAGATTAAATTTATTTTTATTTTATGTATTTGAGTACTTTGCTTGCATAAATATAAGTGCACTGTGTGTGTGTGCAAACCCACAGAGGCCAGAAAGAGGGCATCAGATCCCCTAAAACTGGAGTTACAGACAGTTGTTGGCCACCATTTAGGTGCTGGGAACTGAACCTGGGACCACCTTTGAAAAAGAAACCAGTACTTTTAACCATCGAGCCATCTCTCCAGCCCAAATCCTCAGGGAACTTTTATAGCTAACTAGATAACAGAAACAAAAACAGGACACAGCATCCCACTGACATAAATGCTACATCTTCACATTCTCATGCTGTTTTCCAGATTGGTTTGAGACAACAGGACAAACCAGCAAGCATCAATCAAAATTTCATTTTTAGAGAGACTCTTTCTCCCTATGTAGACTGTGGAAAACTGAAGTCAAGCCCTTCTAGAATTATGAAGCAAGAAATCCTTGCTTACCATGGTTTATCTCTGCCCAATCTGTGTTATTCTGTACAAAGGTATCTAAGTCACCTTGCACACAGCCAAGTGTAGAATGCATACATTAAAGTGGGCCTGGGATGTATGATGAGAAAGGTAGCTGAGTAAGCCAGGGGAAGCCCCCCAGTAAGCAGTATTCCTGCATGGCCTCTGCTCCAGTTCCTGCCTCTGGGCCCTGCCTTGGCTTCCCTGAATGATGGACTGTAATCTGTAAGCTAAAATAAACCCTTTCCTCTCCAAGTTAGTTTTGGTCAGTGTTTTATCACAGCAATGAAAAGCAAACTAAGATCTAAATTGATACCAGGAACATGGGGTATTGTTGTGATGGACCTGACCACGGTGTATTCTGGGGAGGATTATGGAAATGTTTGGAACTTTGAGCTTAGAGGGCTCAGGGCTTAATGAGCTGTTGTGGGAGTCTGGCAGATGGGAATGCTGAGGGAAATGTAGATGACGAAGGTCTGGCTTACAAAGTTTCAGAGGGAAGTTTGAGAGTCCGTCAAAGACTATCAGTGCCCTTTGTGGGCTATATTAGAATCATGAATTTGTAGAAGTGAAACCTTTGCTTTACTGGGACAATGGATGCAGGTTGGCTAGAGTAGAAAATCAGCTGTAATTAATAACAGACCAGAATTATTGAACTGAAATTTTCAGGGGAGTATTTTCTCAGGGTCAGCACATAGAAGCTATGGTCCAGAAAGGACAAGTCTGCATCTCAAGCTGGAAGCCAAACTTGGAATGTGTAAAACTCTCCCACATGGTACTAGTTTTTAAGGCATGAAGGGGTCACTGAGAGCAGTTGAGGCTCAGCACTATGAGAGACCAGGAGAGGCCACTGATTAGGATGCAACCCAATTTGTAGTGGCTTGGCACCATGTAGCAGAGTCAGAGTCCATGAGGTGGTCAAGACAGGCCATTGATGAAGGTGCAGCCACAGTGGCAGCAGAGGCCCAGCATATTGGAGATGCCAGGAATGTGGGATAGACACCAAGGACAGCAGCACATGTGGCATGGAGCCAGCCTAAGCCAATAAGCCAAGCTGTGTGATGCAGATGGCAGAGCTGGAGAAGTGTTACTATCCAAGGCCATTAGAGCCCAGAAGATCATGTGTGAGTCCCAGATGTTGGGACATTAAGCTTTTACACTGCTGGATTCTAGGTTTGCTTTGCTCTGATTGTAACCATTCCAAGGTTCTTCTTTCTTGGAATAAGAAAGTATGTAACTTATTTTAGATTTTACAGGAACCCACAGTTAAGAGAGTTTGGCTTTTTAAATAGACCTTGGGCTTTTAAAGCGTTTAACTTTTTAAAGACCATGGGATTTTTAAAGTTGGATTGTGTTTTATATTGTGATGTTATTTATTTATTTATTTTTTGGTCTTTTTGAGACAGGGTCTCCCTGTAGCCCCAGCTGTCCTGGAACTCACTATGTAGACCAGGATGGCCTTGAACTCACAGAGGTCCCCCTGCCTCTGCCTCCCAAGTGTTGGGATTACAAGTGTGTGCCACCATGTCCAGCTTTTTTTTTTAAATTTTATGTGTATGAGTGTTATGCCCGCATGTATGTAAATGCACCCATGTCAGGCAGTGCCCATGGAGGACAGAGGAGGCAGTTGGATCCCCTGGAACTGGAGTTAGGAACAGTTGTTAGCTACCAAATGGGTTCTGGGATTCGAACCCATAGATAGGGAGAGTGTGAGGCTGTGATGCTCTAACTCTGGAGGAAGATTCGCTAAACAGGCTCCACAGGACAATGACGAAGGCCCTTCCCATGGAGCACACATGAGCTTCAAGCCTCTCAGATGTTCTGCTGCAGAAAAGTCTCTGTGACTTTGTTCTACCCAGATATTCCTTTTTCCTCAAGACTTACTAATACCCTACACACACTTTGGGAGGAATCTGGACTATAGCTCATTAGGGGTGTGGCACTTAGGGTCTATGCTAGTGTCAGAGACAGGATCATCCCCTCCAAGTCTCTGTGAACCCACAGGGGTTCACCTGCACACAGGGCCACATCATTGCTAGCACCTGTTTAAGCTGAAGGCCTATGGAGGCTTGTAGGTCTACATACCCGGAGTGGGATGCCCACTTCATCCATGGACACATTGCTTAGGTCCTGTGCACTCTTCACCACCCGCCTGCTGTCATCCTTTGCTCTTTTTTCCAAAGCCCTGCCAGGTGAGGTGAGTTTTGCCTGGGTTGGTGCTGAATCCTGCTCGCTCACTCTTCTTTCTGAGGCAGGATCTGGAAATGAAAAGCAGCCATTAGCTGAAGCTCTTTTGATAGAACCAAAGCAGAAAACCTCTAGCAGTCTAGCTAGGGGAAAAGTGTGTTCATTAATTTCCAAGTGGAATTCATTCCACTTAGGAGAAGAGTCAGTAAACCCCAGCCCATAGGTCAGTCACCTGTTTTTGTAAGTAGTTTTATTGGCACACAGGCACACAGATGTGTTTACATACTATTTATGGAAGCTTTTCTGCACTATGGCTAAGCTGAGTATCTGTGACCAAATGGTCTATAAAGCATCAAATATTTATTATTTAGCCCTTTAAAAAGAAGTATGCATAGCCGGGCATGGTGATGCACATCTTTAATCCCAGCACTTGGAAGGCAGAGGCAGGCAGATCTCTATGAGTTCAAGGCCAGCCTGGTCTACATAATGAGTTCCAGGACTGCTAGGGCTACAGGAAGACCCTGTCTCAAAAAGACCAAAAAAAAAAAAAAAAAAAAAGAATGAAGGGGGGGGCTGAGACATGGTTCAGTGGTTAAGAGCACTGGCTGCTCTTGCAGAGGAACCAGGTTCGATTCCCAACACCCACATGGTGACTAGCAATCATCTGTAACTGCAGTTCCAGGGGAATCTGACACCCTCTTCTGACCTCCCTGGGCATTGCACAACACAGGTGCACTTACATACATGCAGGCAATGCATTCATACACATAAAATATAAAATAAAATTAATTTTAAAAAAAAGAAGTTTGCAGAGGTATGTATATTGAAATGAGTATTTCTGAGAAATTCTGACTCTTAAGGGAGCAGGCAGAACCATAAGGAGGTAACAAAACATTACTGGAAAGTTCCTTGTCTTGGAAAGTCACTTAACTTTCACGTGTCTTAGTTTTCTCATTCAAAAAATGGGAATAACATTTCCATCAACAAGTTCAAGCCAAACTGCCCAGAAGGCTGAATATTGCTAGGTGCTCATTAGGTTTATTTAACCTATTTCAAGACTGCAATTTATAGAGGTAATAAACATACAAGGTGTGGTCTACAGATTACACAGTCACTGGTTACAGCCTATTTTTCCAAGCCAAATCATCCTGTTATTGGTGAGGCATTCACTAAGCACCTCCCAGATGCTACACCTTGTGCATTGCATGTGGACATGAAGGTAAACATTCTGGAATTCTAGTCTTTAGGGAACTTACACCCTAGTAGACAGAATGATCAAGGGAGCCAGCAATGAAAACAGGACAGTGAGGGCTGATAGAGGAGACAGCATACAACCTAGCTGTAGACAACCTGCCTAAGAGAAACCATCAGAATGAAAAGGAACTAGAGGTGTTTCTGGAAGAAGAAACAGCAAAATCAACTGTCTACCATCTTGAACTACTATGACCTATTTATGTGTCAGGCATTACACTAAACTTTTTGAGAAGACAATGAGACTCCATGGTAAAAAGTGCCCTAGAGACTCCAGGAGAAATACAGCAGGACCCCAATGAAGTGCCTTGGTACAGTGCAGTTTTGCATCTACCAGCACAAAAGTGATGGCAGATCTCTGTGGTAGACAGAGGTGAGTACAGAGTCAAGGGCTGAATTCACACACTGAGGGTTTATCAAAGATACAGAATGAAAAGTGGAAGGACCTCCCAAGGCGGATATAGGAATCATCTGAGGAAGCAATTTCAGGAGGGACAGGTACAAAATTGTAGAGAAAGGGATAAATGTGTAAGCAAGAAGTAGGGGTGAATTTAGCACAGAGGAAGAACCATGTTGGATGGTAACTGGAGGGCAAGATGGAGGGAAAAAAGCTTAAGTCAGAGAAGCCTGAGGCCTTATGAGTGAAGCTGATGAGAATGAAGGACAGTGATGTATGCCTCCCCTGCCCCAGCAATTAAGAAGTGCCCACTGACTGAGAAGTATAGTTCTGGCTGGGGGAATATACTTTGACAGAAAGGAGAGGTCTGGGGTTCCATGCAAAGTTCTGACAATCTGAAGTATCCACGTGTAAAGGCACAGCTGGGAGGATCACTCAGTGGAGTGACTCTGTCCTGATTCAGACAAACTTCTAAAATCTATGCTCCATCTATGAGGGCAGAACAATTTCTAAATATTCCATGTGGGACTCAACTCAGTGAGTGCTTCAACAAACCTGATCCCTGGCATCATTACCATAAACCTCAAAGGATGTCAGGCCAGACACTCTTTACAGGATGAGTCCTCAGGCTCCCAGGAAATTCCAACATGAGGACAAGGATTTGGTAGGAAGCCCAGAAGTATAGGGAGACTTTGAGTTACCAGAGCCTACCCTTAACTTGGGTCTCTGAGCATTCTCCTCCCACCCGGAAAGGTCTTTCCCAAGTGATAAAAAAGGGGCTGGCCAGTGATTTCAAACTCTGTCTTGCTTGGTATGTAGACCTTATGAGATGATAACTATACATATGCTATGTTCAAGGTTCTTTAAATAATTCTTTAAAATAATTCTTTAAAAATAAATCATTAGGGCATGAAT